TGGCTGCTGTCTCCACCAGGGGGGGGGGCGTCCAGCTCAATGCTAACACACAGGTAAACAACAACAACGGTGAGCAACACAAGTCAACAACACACAGGCGGTAAACAACACACACCTGAGGGAGCTGTCAATCAGAGAGAGTGTGTTACCTGTGGAAGCCCAGCTGGTAGGTGACCACGTCAGCGATGGCCTGAGTGTCAGCAGCTGAGCCGGACCTGAGGAGAACACACATCAACACACGTTAACACACACACATCAACACACACAACACACACACACGTTAACACACACAACAACACACGTTAACACACAGTAACACACACACATCAACACACAGTAACACACACACAACACACAGTAACACACACACATCAACACACAGTAACACACACACACATCAACACACAGTAACACACACACATCCACACAGTAACACACACACATCAACACACAAGTTAACACACACAACACACACACACACATCAACACACACACACACACTAACACACAGTAACACACACACACATCAACACACAGTAACACACACACACACACAACACACAGTAACACACACACACACATCAACACACAGTAACACACACACACATCAACACACGTTAACACACACTCACCAACACACAACACACACACATCAACACATGTTAACCTGTTCCACTCTGAGCCTGTTTTTCAGGTCTCAGGCTCGAAAATGACATTCCCAGAACAAATGACCATATCTTCCCTTCTAAAAGGGTTAAATTAATAATCTTTTCTCAAAGTAATGATAAACCTGTGAGTTGGATGTAGAAGTGTCAGAATCAATATAAATGTTTTTTATTTTAAAGAAAATTCAGATTGAACATAGTAAAAAACTGTAAATTATAGTGTCCGTCCAAAAATTATTTTTTACAGATAGTGAAAACTACCCTTGGATGATGGGTTAGTAGACTAAAAGCTTTAGGAATCCAAAGTACAACATATAATAAGTACCCTGTATCAAGATTGATGCAAAACAAGTGAAATTTGACCTTTTTAGAGAGATTTAGCCAAAAACTGGGCCATCTGGGGTCATTTGGGTGGATTTGACCTATCTCTGGCCCCCCTTGCTCGATCTGGTTGGTTGACATACCCTTGTGACCGTTAGAGCCAATAGAATCGAAGGAGGAGGCTCCCACCCAGACAGGTTGTAAAGAAAAAATGTGGTTGCTTCGCGTGTGGAAAGCGAAACCAAACTGGAGGAATGTCTCCTTCTGGAGTTTGGAAACTAAAACGCAGTTGTATTGCTTATGGATTATCAGAAATAATTTCAAAGAAGGCACAGACACATAGGATGAACCTATGGATTAACTGCAGCATCGTTTTTTTATCGTTTTAATGCCATTGAAGACCAAGGTGAGCCATATTTACGTGTTTAGCTTCTTGGCTCCACATGTGATGATGTACGCTTTCGTTTATAGCGTCGCGAATGTTTATCACTGAGTGTTGAGGTGGGCACCGTTAGATTCAGTGTCTCCAGGACACCAAAAAAGAGTGTTTGGTTGTGCATCTAGGATAAGTAATAAGGGAGTTCTGAGTGAGTTTATGTGTCTTTGTCGGTCCCGTTTTTTCGATCGAGGCTAATTCAGAGGCTGAGTGCTAGCATTGTGGGTTTTTTTTTGAAAAAAAAAAATTAAAAAGATCAGTTAGCTGAGTTTCTTCCCGTTACATGGATATAACACATTCATAGTTTTATTCAATATTAAGATTCCTTAGACGTTGTTTCCTGCAAATGACGCGTTTATCCGCCCGGTACCGGGGGGAAGGCGTGAAACAGGTTAACACACACACTCAACACACACTCAACACACGTTAACACACACACTCAACACACGTTAACACGCACATCAACACACGTTAACACACACCAACACACACACCTCAACACATGTTAACACACACACACTCACCAACACACGTTAACACACGTTAACACACACACACTCAACACACGTTAACACACACACACTCAACACACGTTAACACGCACATCAACACACGTTAACACACACAACACACAGTAACACATATCAACACAGTAACACACAGACACACACAGCAACACATATCAACACAGTAACACACAGACACACACAGTAACACACAGTAACACACAGACAGTAACACACACAGTAACACACAGACACACACAGTAACACACAGACAGTAACACACACAGCAACACATATCAACACAGTAACACACAGACACACAGAGTAACACACATCAACACAGTAACACACAGACACACAGTAACACACAGACACACACAGTAACACACACAGTAACACACAGTAACACACACAGCAACACATAACACAGTAACACAGACACACAGACACAGTAACACACACCAACACACGTTAACACACACTCAACACACGTTAACACACACACTCAACACACGTTAACACACACATCAACACACGTTAACACACACATCAACACACAGTAACACATATCAACACAGTAACACACAGACACACACAGTAACACACACAGCAACACATATCAACACAGTAACACACAGACACACACAGTAACACACACACAGCAACACACACAGTAACACACAGTAACACAGACACACACAGTAACACACAGACACACACAGTAACACACAGACACACACACAGTAACACGGACACACACAGTAACACACACAGCAACACACACAGTAACACACAGACACACACAGTAACACACAGACACACACAGTAACACACACAGTAACACAGACACACACAGTAACACACACAGTAACACACAGACACACACAGTAACACACAGTAACACATATCAACACAGTAACACACAGACACACACAGTAACACACACAGCAACACATATCAACACAGTAACACACACAGTAACACACACAGTAACACAGACACACACAGTAACACACAGACACACACAGTAACACACAGTAACACCACATTAATATATGGTGATAATAAGGAGCTAGAGATGTGGACGTACCTGCAGCAGAAGATGCGGTCGTGGATGGGAGTCAGTTTGTCCGTCACCCTGTTAGCGATGTACGCTCTGAGAGACAGACAGGCAGACAGACAGTTCAGAGGACACAGTCTTTATGTACATAATCAGATGATTGATTATCTCATGTTTATTGATCGGTACCCGGTGGTGGTCCTGGAGTCCGCTCCGATCACCACGCCTCCATCATACTCTACTGCCATGATGGTGGTCTGCACAGAGAGACAGACAGGTGAGAGACAGACAGGAGAGACAGACAGGTGAGAGAGACAGGTGAGACAGACAGGTGAGAGAGAGACAGACAGGTGAGAGAGACAGTAGGTGTAATGTGGAGGTGGCCCAATACTTCTGTTTATAAAGTGTGTGTACATTATTGACAGTATAGTCACTGTTTGGTGTATTCTGTTTAGCTTCTACTGCATATATATCTCTTCTAATTCATGTCCTCTCTACCTTCTGCTGGGATGAAGACATGTCCCAATGTGGGATCAACAAAGCATCTCTCTATCATCCGTTATCGGACACCGTCTCGTCTCCAGGTGAGCCTATTATCGATCCAGGCCGGGGGTGAGCCGGGTGAAGTGTGTCCGATAATAGACTCACTTGATTAAAGTTCCACTGCTTTATTCAGAGTTAGCATTAGCCACCGTTAGCTCCTGAACTGCTGTCTCATCCAGACGCAGAGGTTAATATCTCTTTAAAAGCTGTATATTATCTGTATATTTCGTCTCCTCTCAGGACCCGGAGCCGGTACTCACCCCGGTGCTGACTTCCTGAGAGGTCCAGTCCGGAACCAGAGAGTTCTGGTTGATATTCTGAGAGAAAAACGGACTCATAGTTGCTGCCGCCATCTTGTCACTGTGTACTGAGGGCTTCTTCTCCCTTGTAGCGGGTGAGTGGCGGGAACGCTCTTAAAGGCGCAGTACCGCCCTCTGCTGGATGGTAGTATACATATGACATAATTATCATGAAAGTACAATAAATGACCACTTTCTGGTTAAAACTGCCATTTCTGATCCTTAACATTTTAAAGTTAATATCGGTTATTTTAACTCCACAAAGAGGCAGTTTTGTTCCGGCATGTAACGGGACAGCCTGCAGTGGGGTCCTGAGCGGAAACCGGAAGAGAAGGTAAACAGCGATTCTGCTTCGAAAATATCTCAAAAATCATTTAAAAATCACTTTAAAATCACCTTTAAAGGCTGAATTCAACGTGTTTAACACCATGTGTTGCTCTTTAATGAGCCATTGTACCTGTAGTAGTAAGGTGTTCTGTCTAACTGAGAGAAACAGCCGTTAAACCAGAGTCCCTTTATAGAAAGAGTCATTTTAATCCCGATATTTAACATCAGATACTCAGAAATAAACTCGCGATTGAAATGATTTCACAGCTTCTTTATCATCAGGAGGATCTAAAGTTAACTTCGGCTTTAATTTAAATCACCCAGCGCTGTTAGATGTACTGCTTTCTGACAGATACATGCGTTAAAGTCTGAATCAGCGGGGTTTTACAACATGTTTACTATAAGATTATACCTCTTTATTAAAGTGTTTTTACTTTAATAATATGTAATAAAAGGACAGACTGTTATCTGACCAGACTCCATTAACATGCATTATAATCCTGGACATTAAGCTACAAAAACACCTTATTGTTTGTGTATCTAATCTTTAATTCAGGTTGGATATGAAACAATAGTTTATTGAGTTCTGCCAGACGATAGCAGCTGTGTTATTATATGTTGTTCATGTTTCATGATATTAAACTTGCTTGTGTTTCAGATGACGGTCCACAACTTGTACATATTTGACCGCAACGGCAGCTGTCTGTATTACAACGAGTGGAACCGCAAGAAACAGGCGGGGATCTCCAAGGACGAGGTGAGACAGCTACCTGACTGTCTGTCTGTCTGTCTGTCTGTCTGTCTGTCTGTCTGTCTGTCTGTCTGTCTGTCTGTCTCTCACCTGTCTCTCTCTCTCACCTGTTTTTCTGTCTGTCTGTCTCTCACCTCTCTCTCTCTCTCACCTGTATGTCTGTCTTGTCTGTCTGTCTGTCTCTCTCTCACCTGTCTCTCTCTCTCACCTGTCTGTCTGCAGGAGTTTAAGCTGATGTACGGGATGCTGTTCTCCATCCGATCCTTCGTCAGTAAGATGTCTCCTCTGGACATGTATCCTTCACAGCTACCTGTCTCTCTCTCTGTATACATGTCTGTCTGTATACCTGTCTGTCTCCCAACCTGTCTGTGGTCCTTAGCTACCCGTCTGTCTGCAGGAAGGAGGGCTTCCTGTCCTTCCAGACCAGTAAATACCGTCTGCATTACTATGAGACACCCAGCGGCCTGAGGTTCATCTTAAATACTGACCTGTCTGTGGTTAATGCCAGAGAGACACTGCAGAGCATCTACAGCAGCGTGAGACACACACACACACACACACACACACACACACACACACACACACACACACACACACACACACACACACACACACTCACACACACACACTCACACTCACACACACACACACACACACACACTCACACTCACACTCACACACACACACCAGAGTTCCCGTTAGCCGGTAATTACCGGACAATGACCGGTAAAATATGCTGAAGTCCGGCAAATCTAAATCTCTCCGGTCAAAATGTCCGGTCAAAATAATTTTCCCTTAGCGCAATACCGCATCAGTTGCGCCACTTATGTGACAGACAAGAATAGTATGTGACAGACAAAAGAGTATGTGACAGACAAAAATTGTCAATTCTAATGTCTAACACTTAATGTGGAGAAAGAGATGTCCTGTATGGGTTGATTGTGCGTTGATCTGTTGGTAATGCCTCGGGGTTCCGGTGGGCATGTAAACAAATGCATAATGCTGCGCTATACTTTGTGGCCTCATCCGGTTGCATAGCGACGCTTATTGTTTAGGTGTCTTTTAACAAGCAGGTAGTCATATCATTAGCTAGAACTAGCTAGATCTGATCGATATGGACATAAATGCGAGTAAAGTCTAATCTGACAGGAGAGAGAGATCGGCTGCTGCTGACGAGTCGACACGCAGCTCTGCATGATCCCCTGCAGCGGCGAGCAGAGCAAAACACACTTCAGGTTAGAAAATCACACGTAGCTATTTTAATTACCTCTCAAACTACCTAAACTAGTTATAGATATGTTTAGTTTTACTGTCGGGTCACTCATTACTGGATCCGCGAGCTGCATGATACTGACGGGCTGTCAGGAGAAGGAGAGAGCGCTCCGTTTATTATTCCCGCGTTTTTGTAAATTACTGTACACTTTTGAATAATGTAGTTAATCTACTATAATTAGTTTGTTTAATGTCGAATCATATCAATTTGTTTTAAAGCTCAATAAATAACAAAGAAGACCTTTAACCGGCACTTATCTAATTTTGTCCGGAAGATTTCAACTTTAACGGACATGTTGACCGGCAAAAAAATATTCTAACGGGAACTCTGACACACACACAGATGTTTTACTATAATGTCTGATGTTGATCTTGTATAATATAAGAACATGAGTCAGGATACAACCTGAAGCTGATTCTGAGTCAGGGCTTTTATTGTGAACGATCTGCAAGATTACAGTCAAACCTCATTTACCTGTCTCTCTCTCACCTCACCTGTCTCTCTCTCACCTGTCTCTCTCTCACCTGTCTCTCTCTCACCTGTCTCTCTCTCACCTCACCTGTCTCTCTCACCTGTCTCTCTCTCACCTGTCTATCTCTCCAGCTGTATGTGGAGTACGTGGTGAAGAACCCGGTGTGTGTGTTGGGTCAGAGTCTGGACAGCGAGCTGTTCGGCACCCGCCTGGACGCCTTCATCAGAGCGCTGCCCTACTACAGCCCCCGAGCTGCCTGACACACACACACACACACACACACACACACACACACACACACACACACACACACACTGTTTTGTATTTATTTGTTGGAATAAAGTCTCTTAACATGCGACTGCAGTCTGTTTGTGTTTGGACACCTGGACGTTTAAAGAGGTCTCTCTTCCTGTAGTTCTATAGATCTTCATCGGACCCCTTTGTTTACTTCAGGAACATAGTGACATCACTATGGAACACTCCTATTGGCTAGCGCTCCAACACATTGTACGTGATAGGCTAAGGGGCGGGACATCTCTAAGCTGGTTGACCAATCACAACAGAGCCGGCCAGCTAACCAATCAGAGCAGCTCTGGTTTCAGACAGAGGGTGAACAGAGCATCACACGAGAGAAATAAAGAGCTTTTTGAACATTATGAGATATTTCTAAGAAAGGACCAAATGCCCTAAACTGGAAGAGCTCAGCTGTGATTGGTCGGTTTAAGCTTTGTTGATAAATGAACATATTTGTATTGGATTAATTGCAAACATTAAAGGAAAAACAAAGTCTTTCCTTATTTTACAAAGATCTGTCTAAAGTTGATTTCGGTGCTGTTTTGTTTATATTTTATAAAATACTCCATGTGTATATCTTTTAATATATTAAAGGTGTATATAGCTGCTTAATTTATATTTTATAATCTCATTATACATTTTCCTTTGCCTTAACGACTCTTGAACTGCTGTGAATTTCCCGATTTGAGATTAAATTCAACTCCTCATCATGTTCGGTAACAGCTAACGGCTAACAGCTAACGGCTAACAGACCTTCATTAATTTAAAGAATTAAAACGTTAATTACGTAACAGAGAACTGTCACTGTGACCTACTGAACTCACAAAGAGATTAACTGATTGCTAAGCACACACACACACATCAACATCTGTGTTAGCACACGGAGCTAATGCTAGCACGGCAGTTTAGGATAACCTTGGATTAAAGCAGATTTTCCTGTTTGGAGACGAGTGATCAGCAGGAAGTCATACAATTTGTGTGTGTGTGTGTGTGTGTGTGTGTGTGTGTGTGTGTGTGTGTGTGTGTGTGTGTGTGTGTGTGTGTGTGTGTGTGTGTGTGTGTGTGTGTGTGTGTGTGTGTGTGTGTGTGTGTGTGTGTGTGTGTTTTCAGACAGTGTATCCCTGTAGTGATATAATCTCTAATCCCAATGAAAAACATACTGCCAACCAACAACCTCCACACACAGTTTGAACCAAGTCCACAGCAAGTCTTTAGAAAAGTCTTCAGAAAAGTCTTTAGAAAAGTCCTCGGAAAGTATTTAGAAAAATCTTTAGAAAGTCCTCAGAAAGTCATTAGGCGCGTTCACACCAAGTACTTTGCAGTACTTAGTTCCGGCACTCAGAGCCCCGGCACTTATTACCCCAGGGCATTTAGTACAGATCGCGTTCACACCGGAATAAGTTCCCTGAGGGAAGATTACGCAAATGAGCCGCTGACGTCACTTCGCTGGGACTCCCAGCAGCTTCTACTGAAGCCTTCAGAGTAAATCGCCAGAACGCCGACACCTCCTCATCTCCACCGCTCCCATGTTTTCTTTTGTGTTGCCATAAGTTAGTCTCTCTGCGTTTGTGCGCTGGGCGAATGCTAATGCTAATAATGCTAATGCCAGGATAATAAAATGGCAGCTCTACAAAACATTTCAGTGTTGTACGGGGCGTGGTTTGCAATTCTCCCAGCCAATCAGAACTGGGGCACTTTTTTCCCCAGGAAAGTACCATCTCTCAGCAGGCACTAAACATGGGGGTAAAAGTTCCAGAGATGAAGTGCTCTTTTTGGTGTGAACGCGACATGAGGGGTACTAACGGAACTAAACGCGAAAAGTACGGTGAAAAGTACTCCGGTGTGAACGCGGCTATTAGAGAAGTCCTCAGAAAGTCTTCAGAAAAGTCTTCCGAAAGTCCTCAGAAAAGTCTTTAGAAAGTCTTCAGAAAGTCCTCAGAAAGTCATTAGAAAGTCTTTAGAAAGTCCTCAGAAAGTCTTCAGAAAAGTCCTCAGAAAGTCCTCAGAAAAGTCCTCAGAAAAGTCTTTAGAAAAGTCTCTAGAAAAGTCGTTAGAAAGTCTTCAGAAAAGTCTTTAGAAAAGTCCTCAGAAAATTATTTAGAAAAGTCCTCAGAAAGTCTCAAGAAAAGCCTCTAGAAAAGTCCTCAGAAAGTCATTAGAAAAGTCTTTAGAAAGTCCTCAGAATGTCTTCAGAAAAGTCTTTAGAAAGTCCTCAAAGTCTTCAGAAAAGTCTGTAGAAAGTCCTCAGAAAAGTCCTTAGAAAAGTCCACAGAAAGTCTTTAGAAAAGTCTCTAGAAAAGTCTTTAGAAAGTCCTCAGAAAAGTCTTTAGAAAAGTCCTCAGAAAGTCTTTAGAAAAGTCATCAGAAAGTCTTTAGAAAGTCCTCAGAAAGTCTTTAGAAAAGTCCTCAGAAAGTCTTTAGAAAGTCCTTATAAAGTCTTCAGAAAAGTCCTCAGAAAGTCTTTAGAAAAGTCCTCAGAAAGTCTTTAGAAAAGTCATCAGAAAGTCTTTAGAAAGTCCTCAGAAAGTCTTTAGAAAAGTCCTCAGAAAAGTCTTTAGAAAAGTCCTCAGAAAATTATTTAGAAAAGTCCTCAGAAAGTCTCTAGAAAAGTCTTTAGAAAGTCCTCAGAAAGTCTCCAGAAAAGTCCTCAGAAAGTCCTCAGAAAAGTCCTCAGAACGTCCTCAGAAAGTCTCTAGAAAAGTCTTTGGAAAGTCCTCAGAAAGTCATTAGAAAAGTCCTCAGAAAGTCCTCAGAAAATTATTTAGAAAAGTCCTCAGAAAGTCTCTAGAAAAGTCTTTAGAAAGTCCTCAGAAAGTCATTAGAAAAGTCCTCAGAAAGTCTCTATAAAAGTCCTCAGAAAGTCCTCAGAAAAGTCTTTAAAGAGTCCTCAGAAAGTCCTCAGAAAAGTCTTTAGAAAGTCCTCAGAAAGTCTCCAGAAAAGTCCTCAGAAAGTCCTCAGAAAAGTCCTCAGAAAGTCCTCAGAAAGTCTCTAGAAAAGTCCTCAGAAAGTCCTCAGAAAAGTCTTTAAAAAGTCATCAGAAAGTCCTCAGAAAGTCCTCAGAAAAGTCTTTCGAACAGTCCTCAAACAAAAAGCAACTGATAACTAAGTCTCAGATGTCGGTGAGTCCCTGAATGCACCGTCCACTTTACTCCAAACAACAAAACAAATGGGTAAAATAATAAAATAAAGTTTGGAGACCAAACCTGTTCATTCAGCTTTTATACTAACATGTGGACCAAAGGACGCTGGAACCCAACCTGTGTGTGTGTGTGTGTGTGTGTGTGTGTGTGTGTGTGTGTGTGTGTGTGTGTGTGTGTGTGTGTGTGTGTGTGTGTGTGTGTGTGTGTGTGTGTGTGTGTGTGTGTGTGTGTGTGTGTGTGTGTGTGTGTGTGTGTGTGTGTGTGTGTGTGTGTGTGTGTGTGTGTGTGTGTGAGATTAGATTAGGGTCAGATTACTTTCGGATATCCGGGCAAGAGGCCATGTTTAACATCTGCACCCAGAGTTTGGTATTTCGGAGCTACAGGTTTAAATCCTGATCAGACGGACGGGCGGACAGACGGACGTATCTGTGCTCTGATTGGTGGGATTTCACCCAAAGGCTTAATACAAGAGTATCAGCAGAGATACAGAGAGGCAGACAGACAGGTGGACGCAGAGAGAGGACGACAGGAATCAGACACCTGGAACCAGGTAAAGATCAATCTGTCTCCTGCAAGGGCTGATGGGACTTTTGTTTGTAATATGGCTGTACTTATTTTAAAACTTATTTTGGGTATATTTTGAATGTTGTGTTTTTTATTCTGGTTTTTACTTGTTTTGTGTTCATCTTGGCTATATCATGTATTGTTGTCATTAGCTTTAGCCTATTTTCTTGTTTTTCATCGTTAGTTTTAATTATGATATGTCTGTGTTTTTAGTTTTAGTATTAGCATTAGCCTCTTGTTTTTAATAAATAGTATTAGCTTGATATAGGTGTTCTGACTGTTAGCATTAGCCTCTTGTTTTTAATAAATAGCCTTGATATTGGTGTTCTGATTGTTAGCATTAGCATTAGCCTCTTGTTTTTAATGAATAGCCTTGATATTGGTGTTCTGATTGTTAGCATTAGCATTAGCCTTATGTTATTTTTCATAATTAGTATTAGCTTGATATATGTTTACGTGGTATTATGTTGTTATTTTTGAATGATTAGTATTAGCTTGATATAGTTGTTCTGACTGTTAGCATTAGCATTAGCCTCTGTGTTTATCCCCCTCAGTGTCGGCCATGTTTGCGGGCCGAGCGACAGTCGGATCGGCGGGAAAAGGGAAGTTTTCCGTGGAGGAACTTTACGGATTCAACAAGAAGCCAAAGGGGAAAAAAGGGAATTCTGGGAAACTGGAGTGGAAGAAGGACACCAAGGAGAAGCAGGAGAACAGGTTGGCCTCGCAAATACTGGAGGCAGCAACAAAACTGATGGAGAGACGAAGACTGGAGATCTACCTGAAGGAGTGTGATGTCATCATGGAGCAGAGAGACATGCCCTACAGGTGAGACAGGTGAGGGGGGGTGAGACAGGTGGTGGGGAGACAAGTGAGACAGGTGGTGGGGAGACAGGTGAGATCTACCTGAAGGAGTGTGATGTCATCATGGAGCAGAGAGACATGCCCTACAGGTGAGGGAGACAGGTGAGACAGGTGAGACAGGTGAGATCTACCTGAAGGAGTGTGATGTCATCATGGAGCAGAGAGACATGCCCTACAGGTGAGGGAGACAGGTGAGACAGGTGAGACAGGTGAGATCTACCTGAAGGAGTGTGATGTCATCATGGAGCAGAGAGACATGCCCTACAGGTGAGACAGGTGAGGGGGGGTGAGACAGGTGGTGGGGAGACAAGTGAGACAGGTGGTGGGGAGACAGGTGAGATCTACCTGAAGGAGTGTGATGTCATCATGGAGCAGAGAGACATGCCCTACAGGTGAGGGAGACAGGTGAGACAGGTGAGACAGGTGAGATCTACCTGAAGGAGTGTGATGTCATCATGGAGCAGAGAGACATGCCCTACAGGTGAGGGAGACAGGTGA